AGAAACAGGAGTCACACTCTCCTTCTCTCCTATGAATCACTGAGTTCAATAAAATCCAGGGTTTCACAAAGGGCATTCAGGCTACTTGCATGTAGAAGGTCCCCCAAGCCGCTGCTCCCACGAGGAATTTGAGTCACATGATTGGCGAGTGCCCATCACGAGGAAAGCAAGACAGGGCTAAAAAGAGGAGCCAAGACCAAGATGCAAGGGGGGGGGGGTTCAAAAATAGACCCAGTGTGGAGTGCACACCCAGGCACTGGGGAGAGCCCGGGGGCACTGGCACTGGGGTTCTGGCTGTAACTGGCACAAAGATGAAGGCTTGTTTGTTAAGATGCTTCACAGAAAGCCAATCAGAGCCGCCACGCAGAGGGAACCACTGGGTTCAGTGGGCATCTCCCAACCCTCCTTCTGCAGCCAGGGAACTGCCATTTACACATAAGCCATATTGTGACCGCAGACGTATAAAACTGTGTGAAATGATTGGGGGCTGCAGAGCAAAAGCCTGTGGGAAGCCCCAAGGTATGACCCAAACACTTTTATCATCACCTCTTCACTGACACATGAAAACTTTTGCTCTTTCAGGGCTGAGTTGCCAATAAATTAGAAACAATTTAGCCTGTACCCATTTGCTCGTGAACCACCTCCATGAGGCTAAAAGTAAGTTACCACTTTAAAAAGTCCATCTCTCCTAGTTAAAATTATTTTGGTCTCAATTTTACGAAATTAATATGATGTGGGAGACGGTACAAAAATTTTCTCTGGTTTCCAAATTAAAAATAGTTGAAATGACTTATATCTTTTATTTTGGAAAATCAGGGACAAAAAGATACTCCCTGCCAACAAGAGAGGTGCCAAGTTTCTGTCAACTGCTTGGTTATAATTTGGAGAGTTAGAATTAAGTTTTATATCTTGAAAAGTGCCGTTTGCAGAAAGAGAAATGGTGTTAGGCGGTTGCAGACAACTTTGAATTGGGCTTCTAATCACCATACTCCCAGCTCCTTGATGTCCCCAGATAGAGACTTGAGATTTTCAAACTGGACAATCCCCGGTCATGGGGCCTCACCAGGAAAAACATGGGGCTCAATGAATATGACTCAGCCCCAGGTCTCTCCTTCATGCCAACCTTAGCCTCTAAAGAAATAAATGCCTCAGGCTTATCTTACATCCCCATGTCCCTCTTCATGGACTGCGATGGAACACAGGGAAGAGACCTATATTCAGAAAGTCCGGAGCTGTGCTGAAACATACTGCACCGGGTACCAAGTTTATACTCCCTGTCAGCGGTCCTCACTCCTAGCCACATGTTAGAATCATTTGAAGATTGTAAAGAAAATGCCAATGTCTAGGGCTTATTTCCGACCAATTAAATCATAATTTCTGGGCCCTGGCATTTTACAAAAACTCCCCAGGTAAGTCTAGTGTGCAGCAGAGGTTAAGAACTGCTGCTGGCCATGGGAGACAAGAACAGGCTCAGCAGGAATTAAGCACCCGATGGTTTGTGAGCACCCCTCCCCAGATCACCTCCAGGCCTGTGGCCCCTGAATCATTTGTTCTGTCACACAGTGATTTGCATGTGTCTTCTGGCTTCCACAAAAGTTCTGTTTGGACATGTAGGACCTTAGCCCTCTAAGGCCTACTGCCCAGTTCCAAATTCCACCGAAGTCTATAAAACACTTTCCACCCACCCAGGAAGCCAGCAGAAGGGGCCAGCCCCTACTTTCCGTTAATCAACTGTGATGCTGAGCCCAGGATGCCTGATTCTAGGGAGCAATTGTCACCTCAAAGGAGCAGGGAATGTTCAGTGAGCTCGGAGGGAAGAACAGCCGATGGTTGGGAGAAGGGTTTTTTATTTCACAGTTGAAATCTGCACACAGGGGTGAGGGTAGAAGGATGCAGAACCCGTTTAAAACATCATTGCATCCAGCGACTCTGAATCTCACTGGGCTCCATTCAGACATCTTTATGCTTATTTTTAATCGAAGGAGCAAGAAAGACTCTCCTTAATAACCAGGCAAGAAAGCATCAAGTGTTTTCTCTCTCTCTTTTGGAAACAAGTAGGTGTCTACACGCTTGAATTTGTCACTGTGCTCCAGTTTTGCAGACAGCGATCTGGCTGGCACAAAGACTCCCAGACTCAGTGCCCACAAACAGCTGCACCCTATGGTATCAGCAGGTGCACGGACAGAGCCCAGCGAGAAAATTCCCTGCAAGAACAATGGCACCGTTATAATGCCAAGGGACAGGGCCTGAGGCTCACTACTTGTTCACTCCATCCGAGGACAGGAAGAGCTAGAAACTCAGCCTCAGCTCCCTGGGATTTTGGCCTTTTGGTCCCTGAATCATATCCAGATAGAGCTAGGTAGAGCCCCTCAGGGGGAGCAGCTATATCAATTCTAGGGTCCAACCAACCAGACAGTGAAATTTAAAAAAAAAAAAACTGAAGAAAATGTAGTCTTTTCCTTTTAACATATCTTCTCCTCCCGTGGGTCGCATTGCCACAGTCACCAAGTTTACATTTACATCCAAATATGCACACACAAAAAATTACTGATGCATCTCACTCCCTGGTGACTTTATAACAGGTTGCTAGGTAACAGTGCATACAAGTCAGGTTTCAGGACCTCTAGTAAGCCACCATAAAATAGCTGCATGGGCCTTTTGCATAAATAGTGTGCATTTGTTATCTGTTTTCTTATGCCAATTGATCAGTAGGTAAATACTCCGACTGCCAAACTGTAAACAACTCCCCATCAATAGCTGGCTGAAACAGCGGATCACAATAGAAGACACAGTGCTTCACCCCAACCTTCCAACTGGCTGCTTCTCCCCTCAGTCTCTGCTATTTGCAGTACTGGCTCAGGCAGCCACCACCCTCTCTCAGGCTTCCTGAGACTGGAGCTAATTACACCCCATGCCTGATGGGGGGCACTGGGAGCTGAGCCCAGCAGGAGTCGCCTTATCATGCACCAGGGTTCCATCCACAGATCAAACCTTCCCGCCTCCCTCCTCATCTTCCTCCAGATTTAAAAAATTCCCTGGAGTCAAGGGGTGAAGGGAATAACACCATACCGAGAGTTTTTCGCCCTCTCCTCGCCTCCTTTGCCTCTGTCTGTGAAGTACAGAAACGACCACCACTCCAAGCTATGCTAAATGAATTTGTCCTTGGAGTTGCTTCCCTCAGGACTGTACTGAAAAAGTTCAGAAAAGGAGGCCCTTCTGCTACCATAGACGAGACCTCGGAGGAAGAGCCAGGTTCCCTTACAGGTGACAAAGGGGAACCTGGAAACACGTATTTTCCCACATGATCAAGGAATTTTAAATATAAATCTCAGAGTCTAGATAATCACATGTTCCCTGAGATTGGGATGGGAGAGGGAGAGGGCCAGGTGAGAAGAGCGGAGACCCCAAACTGCATCAATGACTCCATTAGACGCCACTAGTTCCTGTAGCTTGGCCCCTCCCGCTCCCCCTTCCCCACCCCACCCCGTTAATTTCTGGGATTCTCATTTTCTATCCCCCCGTCCCGGCTCACTCCTTCCAACTGCTGAGGGGCAAAGATCTGGGGTTAAGGGGACATTCTGAAAGACCTGACTGAAGTGCCACCGAGCAAAGGGACTTTGGAGTGAAGCTGAGCCTCTCATTCACCTGGCGATGACATTTAGTGAAATGCGACTCTCAGTCCACTTAAAGGAAGGCGGAGACCAATTATTCTCCATTTAAAGGGTATTGTCAATCTCCAAAGAGCTGAAATGGCATTTGGAAATCATCCTGGGGACTGCCACCTTCACTGAACGACAGGACCGATTCTCAACCGACCTTTCCCCACCCTCTACAACTCCTTTAAAATTTCAAATCGTACTTTTTAAAATGTAATGAGGATCAGCACTGTCCCACAACACGTCTTATCATTCCAAAAGAAGAGTTGGGAGAAAAAGAAAAAAAATCTAACATCTCTCCACCCCTGTTCAACTTCACTGCTAAATCAAACACATGGGAAAAAAAAAATGACCAAAAAAGAGTCATGTGTAATTTGATGGTAATGAAAAGTGATATCAATTGATAAGAATACATTTTCATAATTTTTACATTATCTTCTTTTAAAAAGGGATCACAATGGTAGGAATAGAATGTTGTTAAAAAAAAAAAAGACTTTTTAAAAAATTCCACTTTATATGAGGTACCTGAAAGAGTCAAGTTCATAGAGATGAAAGTAAAATCGTGGTCAGCAGGGGCTGGAGGGAGGACTTAGGGGGACTTATTGTGTATTGGATATAGAACGTCAGCTTGGGAAGATAAAGTTCTAGAGACCAACAGCGGTGGCAGGTACACCAAAAGGTGAAGGTACGGAACRCCACCGAACTGCACACCTAAAAAATGGTTAAAAAGGTAAATCTGATGTAATTTCACCCCAAAATGAAAAACTTTACACACACACACACAAACATAACCCACCCACCAAATCCTGAAGAAAAATCATACAGATGATCTTTCTCATTTGCTCAAATTGCAGAAGTGTAATTCCTCATAGTGGTCTGCCAATGTGTCCTTTCAAATTAAGACGGTAAAGAACTTGAAAAATACAAAATGAGGTATTCCATGTGCAAGTACTTTGAAGGACCCAGGGCCGAAAGAGATATGTCAAATAGGGGCCCAAGGTGGYACAATACAAAGGGCACAAACCTGGCTCATCCTGTGACCTTTCCCYGCCCCCCCACCCACAGTGAGAATCCCCAAAGGGTAAAAACCAGAAGGAAATCAAAGATCCCTGTGGTTCTGAGACCCAAACCAAAGCCACGCCTACTTCCAAAAAAAAAAAAAGAAGAAGAAAAAAAAAGGGGGCGGGAGAAAGTAAGTCAAGGAAAATTTATGAAAGTGCAGACTCTCAGACTTGCGGGGAGCCTTGTGATCCTGCCAGCTTATTTTACAGATGAAAATACTGGTAGAGAAAGAAAGCGAGACAGAGAGACAGAGGGAGAGAGAACACAACCCTAGTCAAGTACCTGACAGCTTCATGAGAAAATCAGACGCCATCTTAACAGAGATGTCCTGGCTGAACAATGCTGCCGCACTGTTGGCCACATACTCGGAGGGGTCTTTCAGCTTTGTGTGGTTGGCGGGCCTGTCGGCGGCACTCAGGGTAAAGGAGGCGGGCAGGCCGTTATCTTCCTTGGGTTCCTCCTTCACCAGCAAAGGCGAGACGCCAGCCCCACCCTGGCTAGTCCTCTCTGGAGTGTTAGACGTCATCACGGTCCCCACTAGCTCTGTCCCTCCTCCTTCCCTTTGCTGCCCCAGGCAGCCACTGTCACTGAGGTGGGGAGATCCCTTGACATCTGGGTCTGAGGTCTCCTCCTTCACCTTGGCCTCTGTCCTCAGGAAGTGCTGGTGGCAGCGCATGTGGAGTTTCAGGCTGAAGTGGCGAGAGGAAGTGAAAGGGCATAGCTGGCACTGAAAGGTCTCTCCCCGGTCCTGGTGTTGGTGAACCTGGCGGAGAAGCAAGAAGAGTGAGCTCGGCGACCTGCGTTCAGGGACGGTGCCCGCCGCACATCCACACTCCCCATCCACGACTCCCTCACCCAGCACAGGCCCCCCCCAGGAAGAAGACAAACACTCATGAAGTGCTCCAGGGCATGAGGTCGATCCCCAAACACAAAGCAGGTCCACCAGGGTAAGAGTCCATTATCAGATCTGCCTGCCAAGGGACACAGCGTCGGGCAGAAACCGCCTGATAGTTCAGTCGTCTGATCTCGGTGGCTATCTTCCGAGAAAATATTACAAACCCAGCACAAATTCAACTTATATAATTATTAGTTAGGGGTCAAAAGAGGTAACCTGTCAAGTAATTCTTCTCACAATAATACTTTGCATGTACCCAATTACGGTCACCCAGAGAATTAGCTATGTTTTGCAAACATCATCTCAATTTTCAAAAACGCTGCTCTTAGGTAATGAAGCATGTAGGAAATTGATACCTCCTGGGTCTTCCCATTTCATAGACAGGGAAATGGAGACCCCCAGAAGAAGTGGCTTGAGCAAAAATTACATAGGAAGAAAGGAAAGCAGGAGAAAAATCAAAGGTCTGACCCTCACCAAACATTCTGAGCAAGAGGAAACCGGTTTTTCCAAACGTGGTTATAATATCACGCTCTAGATTCTGCTGTCGCAGTGAGAGAATGCAGACTTTTAAATGCAGTTCCAGTCTTGCGTGCACGCGATACCTGTAAAACTAGGAGAAACTTTTTCTTCCTTCCTGTCACTACCAAATTTAGTGCTTGAAAAAGTGAGGAAATCATTGCACTGGCCCGAGCCAGGCTTTGAGCTGGCAGGTGCTCATAAGCTTGTAACTTCCCCATTCATCTCTGCCAATGCACTTCAGTGCTGACCTGCTACACGCTGCTATTTCAGGACTGGCCCTCCCTGGAGTAGAAACTGCCAATTGTGTAGATTTGGGCCAAATGATTTGGGGAATCGTGGGATCTGGACAAACAAGAATGTCAGTGACTGGAATTCAAAATCCAAACAAAACTGACCTCGTGTCGTTCAGGGGTGACCCGAGGGGGACTTGAACCCTGGTCTGCGCTGAGGTTAAAGGCACGTTCCTTAACTCGCTGCACCACCTGGGCCCTCTGTGTGGGTCTCCCTTCCAAGAGACCAAGTTTTACTACAGCTGTTTATGCCTTCTGAATGCAATCCAAAAGCATTCTTCACCAGCCAAAACATACTTTTAAATAATGTTAAGTGACCAACAAAAGCAAAGAAATTAAAAGTTAATGGTGAGATCCTGTTGCTACAGCACCCCACTGTGGCTTTCTGAAAAAAACAACAGAAGAGATTCTGGGTCCCCCAAAGCCTGAGTTTATCAACAGAAACAACCATAAAAACTTCAGTTGCGGCCAAAAGGCTCCCCTCTGCCCAGGCAGAGGGCAGAGGTGGGGAAACACCCTGACCGACAGCCCTGGCTCTGAACACCGCCGCTCTCTCTTCTTTTCAGACAAAGGGATTTCATTTCTCATTTACTTTCTCACAGAATCCAGAAGATTCCCCACCAGTTCTTCCACCAGATTCCTACAGGGACAGGCACCTTGGGGGCCTTGGGTCACAGCGCCGCTCCCCCCCGGGGCTCATGACAGGTGCTGCCAAAGGCATGCCCGGAACCAGGTGATAAAGGTCACCCAGAGGAAGGCTCCCTGTGAGGGCCATGCAGGGGGGCGGATTCCGTTTCAGAGGTGCCCTTCCATCTCCTGACTCCACAGAGCACAGAAGCTAATCCAAGAACAGAAGCTCCGGAAGCAGCTTCTGGAAGAAGGAAAAGGACAGAACAAGAGCCCAGGTTCCAAGACAGAAAGGAAGCCCTGGCTGAAAGGCTTCTGTGTGCAGTCGTTCACGTGGCTTTCCCACTAGAGCCTGGCCTCGTGTTTAGTGGTGGAAAAATCAGTGCAAGTGGGAAGGAGGGACAGTGTGGGGCTGACTTTGCACTTACGACTCTATTTGAGCTACACCTTCCCAATGGGACGAGAGCTCACGTGCGGCCTTTGAGAGAAGCACGTATCCTCCTGTGGCCTTCTCTCCAACAGAAGAGCACTTTTCTATGACCATTTTATTCTCTTTAGCCTAAGGCTGGCTTGAAAGGCCCTCTTAGTCGGCTAATGCGAAGAAATGCTCATCTAAAGCATGCCATTCTCTCCAGAATCACTCACTCCCTGGTCCCTGGCCACCAACAGTTCCTAGACGTCATCAGAACCAGCCCTTGGTAGCAGAGAGATGCCTGGGGGGTGGTATTTCAGAGCTTGCAGAAACTCTGGGAAATGTACAGTCCATCCCCGAGGGGACTGGGCCAGGCAGGCGAGGGTCTTCCTGGGGACTCACAGCAGACCAAGGAGGGGCAGAGGGCAGCGCCCGGCCTCTGGTCCAGCTTCCTGCCATTACTTCATTAGGGTTCTCTATCCTGGCAGCCCTTCTCGCCTTTTCTGCTCACTTTTAGCTTATGAATTTCACATTGAATTCCTGTATGCTCAGTCATCCAGGGAAGTTGTAAAAGACTTAATGGAAATCTAAGATAACCCCGAGGAAGCTGGAGGCATTTACAAGCCCCTGCTGCCGTTGGTCCTAAAAACATTTGCACAGTATATCCTGGAAGAAAGGTGGCTTACCAAAAAACGTGGCACCTAGTAGGCCCACACCTAGTAGTAAGTACTGTACCTGTCAAACAGAGAAAGCAGAACTCCATTTTTCTTAATTAAATTTGTATAATCAATATAGAAGATCATGCATGGGAATTATAACGGTTATTTCTGGGTGGAGAGATGAATGGCTAATTTCATCTTATTTTTCAGTTTTTCTAAAGGCTCGTTACTAAAGACAGGTCACCAAGAGAGAAAAGCAATAGAATTTATTCTAGAGCAATTTCTTATACCATCTCATTCATTATTTCTAAATGTAAACATTAATATGCACACAGGAGGATTTGGGATAATGATTATTAGCTACATTTACTGAAGGTCTCTTCTCCAGGCTGGGTACTGTATTAAGTGCTCTCTGTGTATTATCTCATTTAACTCATAACAACCTCATGGGAGAGGCAGCATGATTATTATCTCCATTAGTGGAAACAGGTTTTAAGAGGTTAAGTGAGTCTTCCAAACTCTTGCAGCTCCTAAGTCATCGAAGTGAGACTTTTTTCTTTCCTGAACCCACAGTGTGAGGTCTTGATCTTTGACTACAGTGTTCCTGCTTTTTACAGCAAAATTCATTTTAGAAGATACATCATACATCCATATTTATAGTTTCTGAAGAATGCAGCAGAGGCTACCTATGCATAAGACCACAGCCTTTACATTTCTGTTAGACTAGATTTGTAAAATTGGGCAATGTTAAAGTATGTCTAATCAAAATAAAATCATGATCTCTTTGATTTAAAAAAAATAAAAACTAAATAAAGACCCATAAGGGAGGTGGCGAGGCTGGAAAAGAACGTACACCTTTGATGAAATTAAACTTGCATGATCCCTTTCTCACGCTTCCCTTATCAAAAGCTCAAGTCAGAGCTCAACAGGTTAGGACACCAGGAGTTTGAATAAAGTAGTAATTTCACACAACTGCTTTATTGTACTGGTTATTGATTTGTTCTGAAAGCATTCCAAGACCCCACGACCCGCAGAGCCCTGGCGGCTCTCATCTGTAACACTGTCATGGCCATGAGTCTGTGTCATCAAGGCACCCAACTCATCTCCCTGTAGTTTCAGGGTCAGTAGTTCCTGCTATTGAAAACCCAGCTTTTTTCCCCCCTGGGTTTATAAATAGGTTGTTTTAAGTGACCCTGAGCTGAAACCAAGCTTACAAGGTGTCAGGCTAGATGCAAGTTTTCTGCTCACTGAAGCTGTAAATTCACCAGGCCTGATTTCTAAACACAGCTAAGGAGGCAGTAACTAAAACAAGTTTTCGTTGCAAAGGCAGTTCCTTTGAAGTCTCATCTTGCTAATGAAATCCAATTTGGCAGGTTTCAAAGATGGGCTTTTCCTTTGGGGAGAGGTGATCGAGGATGAGGAGGGTTAGAGCCATAACCCAAGTAAACACAGGAAAATCCAACTCACTAGAGCCCCTGGTTAAGTGAATTCTGAAGATGAAGGGCACGATACTCCCAGGAGAAAAAGGCAAATGATAGAAAACAAATCACATCATGGATTTAATTGGTTTTTTTTTTTTAATCTTCTAAGCTATTTCTTAAAGTCAATAGAAGTTTTGTTCCATCACACTCTTTTAAGAGCTACAGTTCAGAACAGGGATTACTGATCTATTCCGAAGGCTCAGACTACAAGATTTCAAAATAAGCAAATATCTTAATTACATACATACCCTGGGCTTATTTCAGGAAGGGAGACGGCTTGTAAATAATGTCAACAGTTGAGCCCTACTGAAAATATCAGTGAAATATCACTGTCATTATTAAGATGTTCAGTGGCAGTTATTAAAATTAAGTTACTGCCACTGAGCATTTATTTAATTTTAATAACTGCCACTGACCGTTTCTGTGTCAGACATTTTGCCGCTATCACCTCCTTTAATCCTGATGATAGCTCTTCCAGACAAGCACCATAGCTCCCATTGAACGGATGAGAAAATTGAAAGCCTAAGGAATAACTTGCTCAAAGCCACATGGCAGGAAAGTTGCATAATAAGACTGAAATTCACATCAATCAAATTCAAAAGCTCATGCTTGAAGTTGAGTCAAAACGTAGAATCAGTGAGGTCTTCTAAGAAGATTTCTCCATGACCAGGTTTTCCCCTATGTCGCATAAGGGATTCTAGTCAATTCTCTACATGCTTATGACAGACTTGAGCTTTCCAGTGGTTTGGGACATCGAAAATAATGTCCTACACCGACAGCCTCACAGAGGTCACTCAGTCTTGTCAGCATTGGTCCCTTAGCAAAATAAGATAAAAACCCAGGTGCCTTTCAGTGTCTGGACACCTACAAGGTGTCCGGGGAGCTCTTCTGGGTTTGCACAGGTCTCTCCAGGAGGCGGGCAGGCCCAGGAGCCCTGTCTTTGGTGCTCAGGCCCAGTAGCTCTTGCTGGACTCCACCTTTCCTGCTTTTTCCCAGTTCCTCCTCCCAACACCCCCAGAAATGCGTCACCACGCAAGGCCCAGGTGAAGCCGTTGTTCCTCCATAAGAAAGGACAGCTCTACGCTACATTTATTATCTGTCTACTGAAGAGTCTGCCTTAAGCTCCTGGCTGTAAAGTGCACTGGCACTGGTGGTTGTAAAGAGACCCTTCTCAGTGGTCCTCATTTGTATTGAATTCTACCTGCTACGCTGAGCACCGTCTCCGGCCACAGCAGTCTCCTGCCCTAGACTGTGTGCAGGGACCCTGGTGGCACCTGCCTCTCTCTGGGGTCCGACCGCAGGTGGCTTACCTTCATGTGGGATTTGAGATTGTCCTTGCGAGCACACCGGAATGGGCAGAGCGGACACTGATGACTTTTTAAACCTGTGTGGATCACCATGTGCCGCTTCCAGTAACTCTTCCTTTTTATAACCAAACCACAAATCGGACACTGGAAAGGCTTCCCGCTTTCCTCTTCTGAGGCTTGGAGGAAGGAGAGAAAAGGAACGTCAGGGAAAACAAGTAGGCACATTGAACCTGGCACCCATGCCCATACGCTGCTGCATAAAAAGCACAATAAATGACCTAGGGTTTGTTTTTTTTTTTTTTTTTCCCCTTTGATGATTCCCAGATTTTACCAGTGGGCACATTTTGTGACTGCTTTGCTTCAGGTAGAAACCCATGTTCACCTAGTCACTTCTGCCTGGGTCCCACTGGCCCAACTCTGACCATCCCGACTGAGGGGTCTCCCGGGAGAGGGCCATCCCTCGCTTAGGAGGGCCCTGAGAGGCCTGCGACCTGCTGGTTCAGGGCCCTCCATGCCCCCTCGGCCACCACCGAAGGCTGAATTCAGGGCTTTTGTTTCCTGAAGTTAACCAACAAGCCTGAGTCCCCTCCTAGTTCCCCGCTATGGGAAAGGGTGAGAACTAAAGACAGACCCAATGGGACGGAGAATAACGTTCTGGTCCTCTGAAAACCAAACAGCTATCATCAACCTCACAGGCTGAACTCCAATGGAGACAGATTTTCGGATCCCCACTGCTGACTTGTTTAACGGTGGCTTGTGCAGATAGATGCTGCTGCCAATTTAGCCATCAGGGGGCCCCGAGGTCAGGGCTTTTCATCCTCTTATTTCTGTCCCTCTGGTGGCTACTGACAATGCGAGCCGTCTTCCTTTGCTCTGGACTGGGCCTCACTGTCTGCTTTGGGAAGAGCCACACTAGGCCACCACAAATGTTTCCATTTTTCAAGAAAGCGAACACACCAGCTCCCCCTCCAAGCAAAGCTCGGATCATCTCTTCCGCCCCAGCCCCACGGGGAGGCTCTCTGCTGCGACTGTACGGCTGAGCGTCTGGTCCATCGACTCACACTACAGAGCAGCACACTAACCTCGGGACGGGGGGACTCGGGAATGACACCACGGAGAGCTGAAGGCTCCGCTGTTCCTTTCTAAAATCATGAGGAATCCGAAATATTTCCAAACCAGAGAAACATTCAAAAAATAATAATAATAAACTACACGAAGCCATTTAAAATGAACTGATCTCCATCTAATGTGGTAACATGTCCGAGATATTAGGGTCAGAGGATAAAGCGAGACACAAAACCACATGTCCAGGGTGAGCCTATGTTTATTCTCTAAAAAAAAGAGAAACCAACTGCTGCTGGAACCATCGGGTAAAAGATTCATAGGGAACTGATTTATTTATTTATTTATTTTTGGAACTGGGGGTTGAAGTGGATGCTTAACCACTGAACCACATCCCCAGACCTTTTTATTTTTTGTTTTGAGATGGTAAGTTAATGCTACGTTGCCAGGGCTGGTCTTGAACTTGCCGTCCTCCTTTTCTTAGCCTCCTGCTGGGAGAGCAGTGCATGCCACCCCACCGGGCTGACAGGGAACATGATAAAGGGTGGATCAAACAACACTCAGCATCACTAGAAATGAGACAGGACTGTGTGCCTCCTGATAGGCCATCGATGAAATATTCCTATAAAAAAATTAATTAAGCCTCTAATCAGCAGTTTACCAGAAATACATGTTTAAAAAAAATAATAATAATAAGTTAAACCCACCCAGGGAATCAGCCCAATCCAGAAGGTGGGAATTCCTCAGGGGAAATGACCCAATTTCTTCAATATGTAAATGGCATTTTAAAAAGGGAAGGGATTATGGACTTGAAAAAGTCTTAAGGGATAATATATAAGACAAAGGAAAGGTGGGAGATTTATCTGGATCCCATTTAAACAACGCAATGGTTAAGAAAAGACATTTTTGAGATTGTGGAGGAAATCTTGATCACTGCCTGGTGTTCCATAATACCACCATAGATCCCGTTCGATGTGACAGTAGCAAGGTGGTTATTTTTTCCAAGTCCTTATCTTTTGGAGATATAAAAATACGAAAGTATTTACAAGCCAACGGACATGGTATCTGGGACTTGCTTTGAAATATCTGGGCAAGAAAATAACAAAGAGGGAGTGGAAAAATCGGCATGAATAAATGAAACAAAAAATGACATCCACGTATCTGCATGAACGTTTTCTGGAAGTGCACCCAAGAAACCCCTCGGCAGTTACTGCGTGGATGAAAGGGCAGTTTGGGGTGGAAACCTGCATTTTTCTCTTTCTATCCTTCTGTGCTGTTTGAATTTTTAAATGCACACATCACTTTCTAAATTTTAAAAGGAAACATCCCAAGTGTATACTTTAAGATAATCTCACACTTATTGAGTCAATTGACTTTCTACTCTACATGCAAAGGGCCACTTGAAGTGGACGGAGTCCTGGAAGATTCTGGAATAAAGTTATGGAATTCAAGAAATGCGGTTTTACCGAGATGGGTACAGGCGACACTGGTTAGTTTCACGGAGCAATTTGAAGAATCCTGTGACTAAACCTGTGCCCTTCAGGCCTGTATGGTCCGGCTCCTTGCAACGTGTCGGCTGCGGGTACTCCCTTGCTTGAATGGGGTGGGGTGGGACTGAGGTGCCCTCTCACTGGGGGAAAATGCGCTTGTGCAGGCCTGGGGTAAGAATCCTTGCTCTCGGTCGACAGTGCCCATCCGTCTTCTGCCCCCGTAGGCTTTTCTCTTTCTTCCCTTCATTTTTATTTCTCGATCCTGACATCTTGGTCACAAGCCCTCCGGCTGAACAACAGATCTGAGAGAAAGGCCCGCATCAGGACCCTAGGTGAGAAAACGGTCCTTCAACAGAGGGGAAAGAATGACCGTGATGCCAGTTTGGGGTTGGAAGGACATCAAAGAGAAGGAGATACAAACAGGCTGCTCCTGGTCCCCAACTTCAGGAAGTATTTCCCACTAACCCTATCTTGCCTAATTTTACAGAACTACCTAGGAGAGGGGGAAAAAAAATACGAGATGTCCTCCACTAGTCAGAGACTGAATGGCACACCAGAGGAAGGCCAAAAGAAGACATGAACTAGAAGAACAAATAGGTCTAGATGGCAGGGTCCCCTACCACCTTGCCTTGCCTAATACGACCAATGTGCTTCCTAGTCTCTCGGACACCTTCCCAGCCACCACCCTAATCAACGACTTTATATTTCAAGTGTTATGCTAGAATATACTACATTAAATCCTGCATATTAGTATTTCATATAAATCCATTTCATTTTGGAGCTAGGCTTCCTTAGTCTTAATTAATACCAGAATATGTATGAATTGTGCACGAATTATGGTATCCTTGGGTTGACTGGGAGAAAAATTAGAATCCTCACAATAAGAATAAATGCAAGAAATGTAGCCAGTTACACTCCTATAACTGGAAGGTCTAACTGATCAAGGCAGCATAGAAAGAAAATAGAAGCTAAATGGCAAAAGTCAATAGAAGACAAAGACTGATTTTCAAATTTGGCCAGTAATCTCCCCTAGTAACATTTACATTTTTATTTATTCAAGGAGGAAATGTCACATTTTAGTAGGACATCCTCCATGTGTACCTGATGTTAACTACTTCGGAGCAGGAGGAAGCAGGAATGCGTTCTATTTCCTAGGCCAAACTATTTTCAGGGAACTGAGAGCTATAAATTTTCACTCTGATTTAGCGYTCAGGGAGATATGGTCACTTCCTCACGATGAACCATGCGTTCTTGGGGCAATGGGACTGAAATGTTCGTGATTTTACCTAGTTGACAACAGCCTGATAAACAGCTTCTCTTCTTCTTCTTACTAACTAGTTAGTAACCGTGCAAACAAAACTAAATTCCACCAAATGCTAATAGACCCAGTGGGAGCGAGAGCTGCTAATTTGCTCCTTTGGATAAACCCCGTTCTCTTTATAGGCAATCATATTATTGGAATAAAAGAGATAATGAATGTATATAAAACGCCTGTCACATGGTAAATGGAAGCTCTTGGTAGTGGCAATTGTTGCAGTGATAGCAATGACTATAAACTCTAGGTGTACCTTCCAAAGCAGAAAACTCATCCTCAGAGAAGATGCAAATTGAAACAACTGACAGCACATAAAAAATACGCAGCTCCAGGCCCGGCCCACCATGGAAATAAAGGAATGGGAGTCCATTGTACTGCCAGGAGAGGGTCTCACTCAGCCTAGACAAACTCCTGATGGCCCAATTCAGCTCAGCAGGGGTAAAAGAGATGGAAGAGATGGAAGGGCAGAGGAAGAAGGAGGAGAGGGCCGTGGCTGGGGCAGGGACTTACCTTACCTTTGTGTTTCCAGCAACGTTAACAGTGCCAGGTCTGACACAGGTTCCCCCTGGTCAGTGTCGTTGGCTGTGATGAGACCACACGGAAAGGGCTGGGCTGAGGGGGCCAGGTAAAGCCCCAGCTGGGAGTGGAGGGGAGAGGTGCAGGAGGTGCCAGGAAGTCCCAGTGGACCAGTGTAGCCCCTGGGCTGATGCCTCTCACACAGCAGGCCAACACCTGGCCTGAAGGGATGGACAGGTGAGCAGGTGGATCTTGTACTCAGGCCTCAGCCATCTCCAGAAATGAACTCGGAACAGCTGATGTTAATAATGGACAGTGTGGACTATACCTTTAATAGAGGACCTGATACATGCTCAACTATCCGCCATGGACAAGTTCTGCCCAAAGCAGAGGTGACCTTGTGGGAGGTTTGATCGGGAACTTTAAGAAGCCACACATTTCAATTCAAAAATAGGAAAAAAAAAAGTTTGTTTTGAGTTAATAGACAATTAGGTTAGGAAATAAGCAGTAAGTAATTGCAAGGTGTGTTTAAAAAAAAAAAAAAGGAGGAGAAGGAGGAGGAGGAAGAGGAGGAGGAGTAGAGGAATCTTAGAGATAATTCCAAACCAGCCCAATTTACGGATGAGGAAACTAAACTGCGGTAGTATGTTTAAAATTTTTCTGCAAGTGACCTAGTGGCATGGCTAGGATTAGAGCCAATCTCTACATTTCCAATTGGGTTTTCTACCCTACTGTCTAAATATAAGTCCACAAAACAACAAAAACAAACTTTGATAGGACTAAAAAAAATATTGTTAATCATGGAGAGTTTTAGTCGCTTAGGTATTTTCTAAACAAATGTCATTGTTCTATAGACTTTGAAATCAAACTTTCTCTGGGTAAATGTTATGTGGCAATTTGTAGAAAGTCAAGAGCCTTTGCAAGTGAGTAAATCTGCATACAGACCTGGCCACACACACAGAAGTTCAAGATGCCAGCTGACCTTGTAAGTGCATAATCCATGCATCATTACCATCTCCACTTCAGACTTTCAACACCACTGGTGCACATCTGTGTAGGATAACCTATCTTCCCTTCTAATAATACGCATGGATATTATTAAGGATACAAGTAATATTATTTCTAATAATATACATGGGTATTATAGTGAATAGAAACAGTATTATTTCTAATAATATACATCTTCTAGTGGAATTTATTGGGTGTATATCTCAAATGCTATTTCAGGTCAACAAAAAGCAAAATCGTGTTAGCAAAGGATATCAATGGGTGTACCTGCTGTTATTCATGCTGCCATTATCAATGCATACTCTAGCAAGTATTCAACAAAACTAAGGTACAAGTCTGATATTGACAATCAGCCTAAGTTTAAATCTTTAGGGGACTATCACTGAGATTAGTGACAGTTCTGAATCTTGGTTAAAAAGTGAATTTGCCAAACGTTCATATATGTGATCACTCACAGATTAAGGCTATAATAAGCATGGATGAAAATATCAGGAGAGGTCATCTCCTGCTCTGAACTTTCTATGCTCCTGCAATAATTTTAATCACATCCCATAAATATGAAAGGAAACAGAATCCGGAACACTCTTATGCATTGACCCAGGAAACAGTTTCAGCTCTCTACTGTGTGAGACCAAGTTGCATGTAAGTATATATATATAAATTTCATTCGGGACCACGGGGTGTTCTGGAGACCCTCTCTCTGAAACTCTCCCTGGTATTTCTTTAACTAGGAGCTTGGCACCCGGGACTCTTGTTGGCCTTCTACAAGAAACTTTGTCTTGAAAATAAAAACCATTTATTTTATTCTTAGCTGCAACAGAACAGTAGCTTCAAAGAGAATTGAGTCAATGTGTGACATTTATCTTTATAGCAAACAGACATCATTTTCCCTCTATCGTGTCCCCTTTCAGAGAAGCAGTGTAGCATGTGCTGGGGGGTGCAGGGTCACATGAAAGAAACCTCCTGCTCCAGTGTCACATCTCTGTGGCGGGGTGGAAAGGCTACCGAGTGGTGGACTCTTAAGGAATTAAATACACCATGACTCGGCAACAACAAAATCCTGTTCAAAAAAGAAGAATAAGGCCAGACCTAAAAGACACTTTTTTTTTTCATGGTTTGGACTTCCCTCGACCTAAAGAAGGTCAAAGCAATGCTGGTGTCTAAATTACTCAAGACGGGATCATCTTCTCCGGTGCACAGCTCTTTGAGCTCTTTGGAACTCTAGMATCAACTTTATACGCTCTTTTTGCAACATTTTGGGAAACAGCTTTTAAAAAATTAAAAACTGAAATCAGGAGGGTGTGTATTTTATTTTTGTGGCTTTACATTTGTGTGTGGCCAGGAGGTGAAGGTGGAAAGCGTATTATCTGTTTATTTAAGTCATTAGGCAACAGAAACTCTTATCCCTGCTAGGAGAAGTCAGCCCACCTATTTTGAATTAAGATTTCTTTCTAAAATGCAGAGAAAAAAAAATAATACTAATGAGAAATGTTTAAAAACAGGGCTGTCTGTTTGCTATAAAGATAAATGTCACACATTAACTCAATTCTCTTTGAACCATACTCTTATAATCCTTCTTAGGTAAAGTCGGAGTCCTATTGGAATCTAGTTCCCAGGTTGCCCTGAGATCAACAGTATAGTGTGGAAGCTGGTGGGGTGGAGAGTGGGAGCCCTTCTACTCCGCAGACTGCAAAATCAGTGATCATGAGGATCAAGTCTCTCATGGTGAAAAGATAAATAAAATCACTCGATGGATTCCTTAACTCACCATCAAGCTGGGCTGCCGAGGAGCAATGACATTCACCTTAACTGAAGAGCTCCCTGGGGCCAGTCCATCCAAGAAAGACGCAGAACCTGGGCCGAGGATGTGTCCACATGGACGCAGAACAATTTCAAGGGCCTCGTGGTTTTGAATCTTTCCTCTTGAATGAGTTTTTTAAAAATGAAAGATTCTTTTTTAATGTAATTACTCCACGGATGGAGTTGTTTCACGGGGTCTTGGAGTGTGCACAGAGGCATGGGGAAACAGGGCTGGGGGGCTGGGCAGGGGTCACTCGGCAGGGGTCATCCAGCCCAAATCTGAGGAGTTCCTTTCCCTCTTCTTTTGACTTGAACATTTTGAACATTCACTAAGATATTAAGTGTTTCAGCAAAAGAATCGATTCAGTAAAAAGAAGAGGGGGAAAAAATGATCTTTCTAAGATCTCCCATGTTAAATWCTGCTGAGAAGACCTTGGAGATGTTGGCCTGGGCTAAGTGCATCTAAATTAAAAAGGGAAAACATGTTTTTTACCCTCGGGTGCACATCCTACAACAAAACAAACAAACAAAAAGCTTGTGACCCCTTTCTCCTCTTTACATGCTTCTAATCATTTGGGTGAAAAAGTTACATTTCACAGCCATTCCTGGCTAATCCAGAGACCACTTTAAAATAACAAAGCCGCTATAAGTTGGCCTTCAGGAGACATGGTTTTATCACTCACTTCTTTCCAAGCCTCTAGTCAACTAAGTTTATTATTAAATTTGTATAAGCTTTTCCAAGTAACTAGTGTCCAGACAAAATTGTCTTGCAAAGAGCATTCATACATTTATGCAATGAGTGGAATCAGAGAATATACACAGAGCCTTCCTTCTCTCCGCCACTCTAAATAAAATTTCTATAAATCTGGAGTGATGTATTCCACTGCAGCATTACCCAGCTCCCTCTCCTCTTCTTGTTTCCTGACTGTATCCATGTTTCTCCTTCTTTCACCAGATGGCAGGTGAGAAGTTACAAGAAGTGAAACTCAGAATTCATAAACACTTCGAGGTTTTATGGACACTTCATGAATACATCAAATTGATGTTAGCTGTGATCATTCGGTCCAGTATGTGCCGTCCCAAGCACTCTACCAATGTTGTCTCAGATAATTGAAAGTTGGCCAGACACACACAGTGGTGATGTTTATACCAATGAGCAGACACGCAGCCCACTTCCTGTTCCGGTCCGACAGGATATCCCTTAGGAGACATCCGAAACCCCTATTTCCATCCCCAGAAACGTGTATTTATCATGCACACAGCTTTAAAGCATACCAGCACAAAAAGTGACATTTCCATTGTGAGAACTCAAGTGACTAAATCTCTCCCTTGGATGATTAATTGTGAATGCCAAGGCTCTATGTGACAGTGACCTCTCCTTCGGAAAGATGGTCTCCCCTAGAAAAACCCACGATTCAGATTTTCCAATGCACATTCCTTCAGATTGGATTTGAACAACATAAAGCATTTGCAAGAAATGCTTGGATCATGTTTCACCATTATTTTTTTAAGAGTTCTTAAATGGCAAGAAATGATAGAATAGGATAAATAAAAGGTTTAAATTCTACCAAAAAAAAAAACCATAATAATAAAAATGCTCACATAAAAGTGTATATTGTGATAAATTAGGGCAGAGTAGTTAGTGATTATACAAAAATCCATTTGTACAGAGGCAGCAGGGCGCTCCCTTGCCCACTATTTCAAAAGCAGTGGTTTTTTCCCTCTGTGTTCAGTGATGCTTTGCACTCCATGACAAAGATGCTTTGATCTTCCCCATTAAATATATCTGGTATGGACCTAGCCTGAACTTGGTAAGGGGGAAAAAAAAAACCCAAAACTGTATGAAAGGGAGGGAGTACTGTATGTCTCTAAGATTATTCATTACCTTTCAAAAAGGAAGCTATTTGTGAAGTCTTTGTGTAACACACACATGAAAGACTTACTACGCTGCTTACTTAAAGTATTTGTTGTGCTCCTGCTTTTTTTTTTTTTTTTTTTATTCCTTCCCCAACTCAGATGGGGACCCAACTGCAAAAGGCAATGAATAAGACCCGCAGCTGAGAGCCACAGACTTACCCAGTGACGGAAAGAAAAGATTCCATACCTGAACTGGAGGGTTTGGAAACTCTTCCCTTGGGAACGGGGAGTAACAATAATTCCAAGGACTGTGGCGGTGGCGGCAGGGGTGGTGGAGGTGGCGGTGGAGGTGGCGGGGTTACTTTTTCTGGCTTCTTCTCAGAAGGCGGTGGCGGTAGAGGGTCCTCGGGCAACAGGGATGACTTCTCGGCCAGGAGGCTGCCGGCAGCCCTTGCTGCGACCTCTTTCAGAAGGGCCGCTGAGGAGGTCATAGAAGCCAGGGACAGGAAAGAGCTGGCCGGAGGTGGGTGCTCCTGACCAGGAGTCAAACTTCTCTCACTGACCTTCTTGGACAAAGCTGCCAAGGTCGAACTGGCAGACTGGGAGCTAAAGGGGGAGGAAAAGGACTCAAATCGCATGGTCTCCTCCGTCCTGGTGAGAGATTTGTCCTGCAGAACAGCATTGGCTGCGGCTTTCAGCTTGAGGATGGCTGAATCCGGGGACAAGCCGCAGGTGGTGGTTGAGTTTGGCAACCACTTACCTTGATTCCATATAAAACGGTTACTTGGAGTGTATTGGTCATTCTGCTCCTGCTTCTCAGCCAGCTTCCTGGCCAGAACGCTGAGCTGCTGGGCATGATGGGACGGTGGGGAAAAGGAGAGGTTCGAGCCAATGTTCACAGGGGACTCCACTCGGCCATTGGCCGTGGCCGTGGCTTCGAGTTTGAGGGAGCCAGCCTCCAGCAGCCTCCTTAAGTTGCTGCTCAGGGGTTTATTGGAACCCGGGGGGTCATCTTCACACAAAGAAGACACTCCGGGGGAGAGGTGGTCTTGGCACTGCAGTGAGTCTCGCAGGACCTCACCATCGAGTGCCACCAGCTCCAGCGTGTGGCTGCTGGGAGTGGCACTTCCCAAGGAGGTGTCGGGGGAAGTGGACTGCTCCTGGATCCGGTCCTCCAGAGACAGCTTATAGTTCTCCTGGACTTCTCCATAGGATGCTTCTGACGGAGTCTCAGAAGAGTTTCCATACCAGTGCTCTCCTTCACTGAGTTCTCCCTCCGCCTCTTCCTGCCTACTAACATCTGGGGGAATTAAGAAGATCGGGTTTACTTCCAAAGTGAGCAACAAGTTAGTCTCAAGACAGCACATGGAGACGATGACAAGCCTTCCCTTCCCTTCCACCCAAGAACCCAATCAATGAAAGTCAGCAAGGGCCCGAAGAGCAGTCAGGAGCTGAATCAGGCACAGGCATGATGCTGAACAGGCAGAGGAACACACACCCCACGTACCACCTGTATTCATTTTTTCCAGTAATTATTCAGGGTAAGTTGGTTGGGAAAAGCAGAAAAGATAAAAAAAAAAACAATCTGGTGAAGAAGTGACAGTGAAACAAAACAAAACAAATGGCTATTTTGAATGAATGGGGAAACAGAAAGAAAGCAGAACCCTTGCAAAAAAGGAGCACCCTATCTTCAGTAGAGCGTCAGAATTCAAAAGCAGCCTGGTAGATTGGGGAAACTGTTGGCCTTGAGACAAGACAGTGGGAATTCGCTTCCTCACTTTCTAACTCCTGACCTCAGAGGCAGGTCACTTACCTGGTTTTGAGGCTTCATTTCCTCCAATATAAGATGCACGTAACTTTTTCAAAAGCTTATCCAAATACGTTAACAATACTTGCCTGACTCCCTTCACTCTATGAAGCTTACATCCTAAAAAGCATGTGACCATGTTTTGCAAACAGTTGAGCACTGTATAAAAGCCAGATCTTATTAGCAACGCCATTCGCAATACCGATGCCCTGCCGCCACGTTCTGGGTGCTACTTGCTTGAGGTCTGAGATTTCAATCACCAACATGCTTGCCATGTCCTCAAAGCAGTGATCAGCGTGTTCCTTCACCCTACTAAGAATCCCCTTGAGATATTTCCTATTCATTAATTTACTGATCCGCCACCAGCTCTCCCACGGCCCCCATGCACCAGCTAAGTGGACTCTGCCAGTCCAGGAGCTCTTGGGAGCTCAGCTGCGTTTCTGTCTTTGCTCATGAAATCCCATCTGGAATGTCCTTCCACACCCAGCTCCAGGGTTTCTTCCTTGCAGTTCCCCCTAGAACTCTCAGAACGGGTCTCTCCTAATCCCTTCATTCACTCGTTGGACCCATAATGACGGGATACTTGTCGCATGTCAGGAATTGTTCTAGATTGTTCAAGACTGTATTCTAGATTGAACAGCATGAAACAAAAACTAAGACCCTGCTGTCTTGGAGCTTACGTATCAGTGGAGGAGAAAGACAGATGTTAAACAAAGTTAATAAATAATAAATCATATAGTATGCCAGAGGGGTGATAAGCGCTGAGAAAAACAAAACAGAAAACGTAGAGCAGGATAAAAAGAATGGATGCATGTTGTAATTTTAAATAGAGTGGACAGGGTGGGGCTTCACCGAGGCGGTGACATGTGAGCAGCTGTCCACGGGCGAGTGTTCCGCGTGGAGAGTCACTGTGAAAGCCCCAAGGACATACCTGACGGGTCCCTGGAACATCAAGGAAGCCAAATGGAGTGAGGGAAGGTCAAAGCAGTGGGAGGGGTGGTCAGAGGGCAGCGTGCGTGGGTGTGAGTGTGCAGCTGTGCTGGAGCAAGTGTGTGAGTGACACGCTCGCGAGTGTGAGCTGTGAGTCTTCTGCATTTGGTAAAACAGGGAGCCAGAGAGGGTGCTGGGTGGAGAAGCGGGATGAGGGGACTTACAGTGCCAAAGGACAGTCCTGGCTGCTGTGTGGGAACAGGTTGCAGGTACTGGGTGGGGCAGGGAGACCCAGGCAGGAGACTGAACCCAGGTGAGGGAAGGCGGGGCTCAGCTCAGGTGACACTCAGGAAGGGCCCTGAGTGCATATTTGACATTCTCTTCTTCTGTTTATAGTTTTTTCATATTTCCTATCACTTTAAAGTGTCTGTCTCTTGTTGGCTTCCTTCCTACAATGGTGCTCCTTGAGGACAGGGATTGTGCTTTATTTTCTGCTTCTCTGGCAGAGTTCAATGAAAGTTTCGGGACTGAGCCAAATTCCTCACGGTGCCAGGCTTTGCCACATCACAGGCTGTTTCTTTTCAGAATAGAAACAGCTAGAGCTAGTAATGCATGAACTACAAGCTAATACATTGATCTTCCCATGCTATTTGGAGAAGAAATGTCACAAGTGACAAATTCTCTTTCACTAAGCTAAAGTTCTGCAACTCTTTCCGGAGATTCTTTATTAAGTTATCAAGAAAATGTAAAATATCAAATGGAATTTGCTGGGGAAAAAGCAGGTAAAATTGAATTTTCTCTGTTAAAACCAGTCTGGTTCCTTGAGATTCGCCACATTTCCCTCTGCCCACTTGATTTCAAGATTTTTCATCTCTCCTGAAATTGGCGGTGACCCCAAACTCCTCAGCTCCCCAGTGGCTTCTCGGGGGAGGGGTGCTTTTTTACCAAGTGTCCAGCAGCCAACGTCAATTTTAACAATAGGGCTAATTTTATGTTTCTTTAGCAAACCACCTTTCTTGATTTCCGACTAAATATCGCATCCTTCCAAAGAATCAAATGGGAATTCTACTATAAATAGCCAAAGAAGTAAAAGACTTAAAAATCACTCCAGCAAGAATTAATTGATCACTCTTCTTCGATCTTTATGGATACTCATGAAATAAAAGAAYGGGTACGTATATGCTTCCTAATTAAATATTTTTATATTATATTTTTGTCAGATCCRGAGAGTTAAGCCTGGCCCTGAACCAGTACAGTAAGTGGCAGCTAACAAGGTCTATAAAGTCAGGTCTTGAGAACCGTAGTTACAAGCACACGACCGATTTTGTCATTTTAAATACACTAAAGTTTACTGATCAAATCAGAGCCACAGAGCCACTAAGAACTAAGGCCAGAACCAAGAATCCAAAATCTTTGCACTYCTGGCCCAGGAGCTCTCGGCAAAACTTGTCACCCAACCTGCTAGGGGACTTCCCTGTGGCCACTTGCACAGAGCTCTGAGCAGCATCCCTGCCCTCCCACCCAGCCAGCCTTCCAGACTCTTGAGTCAGAGGTCAGCCTGGGGTTCTCCTGGATAAGGGCAGCATGCAGGCTCCCTCATGAGATAAGCCATGGAGAGGTGAGGACCCATCATTCCAGGACCCCAACCTCCCGGTCCCTTATGGCGGCATCTTCTTTGTTGCTGTGGGCACAAGTTGATTCAACTGCCTAAAGAATTTAGGCATAGTCTCAAAGGCAAAGCTTAATTTCCTAACTCCCTCCATACTCTCAGAGAGCCACATGTCCCCCTCCCAACGTGCTGAGGCAGTGAGTGTGCCGAAAGCTGAAGAAGTTGTCGATGCAGCTTCGGGGACATCGAATGTTCTAGAATGATACAGACAACTAATATCTATGGTTCAGGCAACTTTCCCAACCTTGCCAAATCACAAACCCAAATCCAATAAGCAAGGAACCCAAGCATCTCCTACGCAGAGCGGTTTATGTCCCTGGAAATACTTGCATTTTTCTCAATCATCTATTCCTTCATTCGTTGAGATGTAATCACTGAGATGCACACTCCTCAGGACTGTCAGAAAACTTGGACACATAGAGAAAAAAAAAAAAAAAATATATATATGTGTGTGTGTGTGTGTGTGTGTGTGTGTGTGTTTGTGTATTTTTAAACTCATAATACTCTACTAGTCACTTTTCCAAAGATGCTTCTTGTAAAATTAAAGCTATCCAAGTAATAAACCATCAAAGAATTTTAGTATGCGGTCTCAAAAAAAACAAGAACAGAAATTTGAGGGGAAACATCTAAAATTATTCAGCATCCCATGAGGTCACATGAAAGGTGCAGGAAGCTTAGAGAAAAATGAATGTAAGATAAGTAAGGTTGTGAAGAGGAAAAATCAGAAGAGGTGCAAACAATATGATTTCAGTTCACAAAACTGCAAGGATTTTTCTCCCAGAAATATTGTTTATTTATATTGACGAATTTATTTTGTCTGCCAGGCTCCTCTCTGTTTTCATGTTCCGTTTCACAGAGGAGGGGTTCTTGGAGGATGCTCTGATATAGCTGCTGTGAGCACCCCTCAGGGCACCCTGCACCTTTCACGCCACATCATGGGAACAGGTGCTCTGTTTGGGAAGCTCACCAGGAAGCTCTCCTGCCACCTCCAGGATGAGGCTGCCGGACACAGCAACCCTCAGGACACGCAAGCCTTGCCTTTCGCCTCTCTCTGCCGCCATCTGAGAAATCCCAGCAGTAAGACACCTCCATTTTCCTGTCTGTCAACCAGCACGGAGTCTTCCTGGGAAATCGCAGAGCAGCAAAAGGTCCTGGAAGTGCTTCCTGTGGATTTCACAGCTTTCTTAACTAAGGCATCCCGGGAAGCCTCTAAGTGGCCAATGCAAATAACTTCTAGTAAATACATTATTTTTAACCTTCAGAAAAAGAAGCTATTTCCATTGCTAATCTTACAACAACCTCTGTCTCCAGACTGTTGGGTTCACACTGCTTCTTGTGAGTTTTACACAATAGCCTATCTTCGCATGTATATTTTCCCTTTAAAAATCAGCAACTCGGAGAATTAAGAATAAAAATGGTGCCATCTCAGTATGAAAACACACTGAATGAAATTTTGTTTCCATGTCGTGAACATTTTTCTATCGGGGAAAACAAAATTCRACTACCTAGCACATTTATTTATAATTCGGTTCTCAAGCAGCAAGTRGGTACCCAATATCCACAGTTCCCCCCACATTCTCTGAGAAGAGTTCCTTTGCCATTCACATCCTTCTTGGTTGACAGTATTAACTGGATGCATTTGACTGGAGCAATACTCAACTCAAAGCATCCTCACTCAGAAGGATCAGGGCAGAGAGAGAATAATATAGAAGAAAGAGATACCTATTAATTTTCATGTCTTTGGGCTTAGGTTGAAGCAAGGGTAGATGGAAACCTAAAAGTGCCTTTTCTAAATCTATCCAYACACCCTTGCCTCCAGGGTCCACATGAATCTAGCCAGCAGGTTTTAAAGACTACAGGGCTGACTAAACCTCTTAGGACTCATAATCAACAGTCAACGTCTCCAACATCCCCCCCAGATGTGTTTGCCTGGCACCAACCAACAAACCTTCTGGCTCATTTTCATCTAAAAATCTTCCAAGTCTTCCCTTTCTACCTAATACACAACTATAGCTGAATGTCTACAGCTAGCTTTCAAGGCCACACAYGTGGACCAGTATTAGCAATTATTACCTGTAACATGTGCCGCAAATCATACAACTACACTTTAGGGCAACTTGATTAAWWAAAAAAAAAARGTRGTTTGTAATRTTCMRARAGCYGTATACAAAAGTTATTGACAAAATCAATGCTAATAATGGATATAATTCAAACACTTTCTGAACACTATGTTCGMGGAGATGTTCACAGCAACAGGGAGATTCAGATGCCCAACAGTCTCTGACCTGACAGTTTATAATCCACAGGGAGGTGAGGGTCACAAGAGCATTCTATTCACAAGGGCTTGTGCCACCACAAAGGAACACAGCACAGGTGTGTGAGCACAACAGGATTAATTCCAACRGTGCAGGGGGCTTTGGAAGTGCACCTCAAGAGATGAAGAGTTAAATGGGAGATGCTGGGAAATCATTTCTAAACAGGCTCGTGCCTCTGCAAACTATCAGAAAGGACAGGCTGTCCGGTGGTGGAGGGCGCCAATATTAGGTGGTGTTATTTTTAAAAGGTGAAGAATTAAGAATGCCAAATAAATAACTGATCTCAATGAAAAAATTCTTAGATCCTTAATTCTCTGCATTTTAGAAACACATGACCTATTGATTCCTTAAA